GGAGTAAAATTTTTCCCAAAAAAAAATTTTTTTTTTTTTTTTTTTTTTTTTTTTTTTTTTTTTTTTGTTCAAATCATGATACCGGGAAAATGAAATTGAAAATAAAAAAATCATAATTATATATGCTGACCTTTTGCAAAATTGTTCAATAATAATTGTTTGTTTATTCATTTATTGATTGTTTATTGAAAGCAAAAAAGTAAACATAGAAACAGAAACAATTGACAAACAAACAGCAACAAAATCAGATCAATTTAATCAAACCCCTCCTGGAATAATATTTTCTTTTCTCTGTTTATAACACACACACACACACACCCATCAAATGAATAATTTGATTAAATATAAAAAAAAACGAACCGAACATTTCGAACGACAATACAATCATTGTATCTCAATTGATTTTCAATTTTCAAGTATTCTTAATCAGATCAAATTTTGTTTACCGTCTATCGTTTTAGAGTTTCTCATTTCAAATTTATTTATTTTCTCATCATCAGCATCATTTCTTTTACTTTCTTGATTCTCATTTTTTTTTTTCATCATCATCATTATATTTCTATATGTGTATGTTATGTAAGGTTTTTTCTCTTTTTTCTCCATTTTATTTTTTTTTTTCGACTGAATCGTTATTAAAGATCTTTGTTTTACTTTTTCAATTTTTTTTATTCTTCTTCTTCGATTATGATACGGTTTATTTTTCGTTGTTTTTTGGGGTTGATATGATGATGATTGTGTGTTTCCGCCCAGCCGAAAACAGAAAAAAAAACTGAACAAACAAGCAAAAACAAAACAAAACAAAAGAATGAATAGGAAAAAACAACAACAACAACAAACGAATTTCAACCCCGCTTTGAACATTTATATATGTAGAATATGATCGGTTCAAGTAAATATCAATCAACCATATCCTAATTCTTTCTTTTATTTCGTTTCATTTCATTTTTTTTTTTTTTTCGTTTATTATTACATTTGTTACAGATAGGACAAACAAAGCAAAAGAAAAAATGAATTCAGTCTACAAATATTATAGAACATAGCGTTCTTTTTTTTCTCTGTTTCTGTTTCTTTGTTTGTTTGTTTCGGTTCCTTTCTGTGATATTAAT